CTGACTAAAGGCCCACCACTTGCCCACTTGCCTCTGACTAAAGGCCCACCACTTGCCCACTTGCCTCTGACTAAAGGCCCACCACTTGCCCACTTACCTCTGACTAAACGTGGGACACTTCGAAAAGCCACTTCCGGACCTTCCGGAAGGCTGTGGACTTGGCCTTTCGGGTACTGTAGCAGCTACGACCTTTACCTTTCAGGACTGTAGCAGCTATGACCTTGACCTTTCAGAGCATCTACAGCCACAACCTCTACAGAGTTGTGACTCCTATTCGACAGATCTACAGATCAAACCCCTCACCTTTCGGCAGTCACGGATGCGGTCCCTAGAGTTCGATCCCCAGACCTCACTTTGCCCATGTACAGTATCGAGTCGACCCCTGAGTGTTTGAACCCGTGATCTGTGTTTTGGTAGTTGTTTGTCGTCTAAGGGTGAGACCATGAGACCCCCTGAACGCCCCCAAGTCAAATGGTTGCCTTTGGATACCCCAATCAGGGTGTTGGGTATCTCTCTATTTGCGTCTGGTAAGCCCACAACTCACAATGAAAGTATAACACAACAAACCAGTGTTAAACTAGGACTATGGAAAGGTAAGCAATACTTCCCTCCTGGGCGTTGGTGGGCACCGGGTGCCCACAGCCGCACCACCTGCCCCACCCGACCCACAAGGTGATTGGGTTGGGCTTGGGTCTACCTATGCCTCCTTGGGTGGGTGACGGACGTGCGCAGCTAGTGGGCATTTCTGGATCATGGGCGGGTGAAAGTTTGCTCTGGGTCACCCGTTGGGTGGGTGACAGGTGGGTGAAGCGTTTGCCTAGGTCACCCGACCCATAGACTCAGGACCACCCAACAAAATGTCCCCCCCCCTCCCCTCCCCCTTGGGCCCTTGGCGCCTTTCAGCCCCCCCCCCTCACACCCAAAACAAAAATGAACAAGGCCTTGGGTCCACTTGTGCAGTGCACAGGCTCGAGTTTGAGAGAATCGAAAAAGCAGGCCTGGGTACAGTCGCGCAGGGTCGCCTGTTACATTGGGGCCAAGAAAAAAATAAAAAGTGTGGTCCAGCAGTCCAGCCCCTCGCCCAGTTTTTCTTTAAAGAAAGGAGGGAGCGGTTCCAGCCATAGTAAGCGGCTAGATCCATCCTCTTTGAACTTCGCCCTTGGTTAGCGAACTTGGCGAATTCTAAAGCCCGCCCCCAACTTACTTGGCCTTGCTGCTGCGCGACACCATGACGGAGTGACACTGGCAAGTGGTGCATAGGACTTGGGTGCAGGTGGGTAGTGATGTTCTCACGGGTGCGGTTGGGTCCGGGTGATAATTTTTTTGGGGACGGGTCAGGCATGGGGCTGAAATTTCAAAAAATATTTTCCGTGGGCGGGATCGTCTTGAGGTGGAAATTAAAATTCTTGAGTCAGGCGGGTTGCAAAAAAAAAAAATTGGGCTGGTTGGGTCATGGGTGAGAAAAAAACAAAAAAGCCCACCTCCGGCGTCGTGATTAACAGTGTGGTCCTACCCTCTATTTGGTACAAATCAGTGATATGGGCCTTGAACAAAAAAACTCTTATGTGCACTGCAGCGCTAGCTATCCACCTTCTCATGGAAACAGAACCATGAGTATGATAATGTCATTAGCAGAGTGGCGTGACACTCGATAATACAACCTAAGACTAGGGGATGGTCGAGAATTATTGAGCCCTCTTTGGAAGCCAGGGCATTATTAGTGCAATGGAACAAGCGCCTATTATTTAACCCCGGACCCAATGGAGTGTGTTGGCATGGGAACAAATTCCACGTCTGGCCCCGGTCAAGACTGAGAGCATTGATCGCATGATGTGGTTAGAGAATAGATCTTGGCCTTTCCCCAAAGGATCGTCGCAGGAACTGTTAGATCAATGTGTCCGTGATAGACAGGTGGGGAGAATAGATTTTTGTAATGCTCATTTTTGGATCCTTCTCATGAAAATATGGCATAGACTGTTGTTGACAGGCAAAAGTTTCCCAGATAGATGGGAGGAGGTATTTTAACAACCACTCTTTGATAATCTCCTAATCGAAGACTCCCACGGATGTACCCTTCACTGCAGAAACTCCCCCTCGACAGGGTGGGTTAAAATGATATAGTAAGGGTTAAGAATATCTGAAATAGTGAGATATGTGAGTGGGCCAGAGTTACGGACTCGCCTCGGGTATTGCCATCACTTTGAGGGAGCTCTCGAAAAATTGATTGATTTTATACCATACTTGCAACCGTACGAGCTGCACATTCGTGCGGAGTTCCGTGCGGGTGGTGCCTGTGCGGAAACGTGCAGGTTTTTCATTTTTATTATTATTATTTTATGGTTTTTTTTTTGGGGGGGGGGGGCGTATGACAGGAAGATAGGGATATGGCGAGGAGAGAAGGATATGGAGAGGAGGCGGAGGATGTGGACGAGGAGGACAACCAGGATAGTGAGGACAACAAGGAGGAGGAGTCGAGATGGGGGAGGAGAAGAGATGGACGGAGGAAAAAGAGGAAGTGCAGGAGGAGGAGGACGAGTGGGAGGAGGAGACATGGACGGCGAGGAAGGGGAGGACACGAGGGAGGGCAGGAGACAAAGAGGCATGGCAGATGAGGAAGTACGAGGATGAGGAAGGGCAGGAGGAGGACGAACAGGAGGAGGACGAGTCGGAGAAAACGAAAAGGAGAAGGGAGGAGGAGACATGGAGGATGAGGAAGGGGAGGAGGAGCAAGGTGAGGCAGCACTCCTGTAAAAAAAAAATTCATCCCGATTATAATTTTGGTGGGGGGCCTCAAACGCTGTGACGCCCAACCTCACACCTAGTGCGAGTTCCTGTTTCCGGAGTGTTTGTGGGCCTGGAAGCGCGAAGAGGGGTGTGCCAAGGATTTTTGGAAAGTGGGGGTGGAGTTCCAGGTCGGAACTGAAATCTCCTATGTCAAGTTTCAGGGGTAAAAGTACAAGTGGTTCCTCTAGCTCAGAGTTGGGGTGGGCGTCGTTCCCACGATCGGTGCCGGGGAAGAGCCGGGTGCACGAACGGGGTGTTGCGGGCGTCGCTGTGGGAATGCTCGTACCTTTGTTGTCCGACGCAGAACTCAGCGTCAGAATCTGCTGAGGAGGACGAGCTGGGTTCTCGTCGTTCTCTCTGGGGAGGAGTCTGACGTGTGGCCCCCGTCGGTTCGCAATCGTTGGGCTGTTGGCACTCTGGGCACGGAGGCCGGGGCCAGAATCGGGATATGGAGTCCCAGGGGGTAACCAGCAGTCGGTGATACGGGAGGACGATGTAATGGGGAGGGAAATTGGTCGTGATAACGACGAAGCCGGGGGTGATAAAGTATTGCTGGTGTCTATTGTCGGGATACTCGGGAATTCGGAAGTCCTGGTTGATTGCCAGTTGGAAATCCCCCCTACACAGTCGCTCGCATTCGGTTTGGTAGGGGTAATCAAGGGTCCGCAAGTTTTGTTGCCGTCTGATTCGTTGCTGTCGGACTTGTTGTCGTCGGATCTGTTCCCTTTCCCAATATGTCCTATACTCGGGATCCTTCAGACTTTCACAGTCGGTAATCCAAAAAGAAGTTTCGACCGCCATATCCGGATCAACGGGACTCGCTCACCCACATCATTCCTACATGGCGGGATCGTAACCAGCCCCTGCATGCGTGCGTGTAGATAGCGAATCTGTTGATGGATTGTTGTCTTCCCCGCGTGTACGCACTGGCCAACTAGTTAAGTCCTAAGTTGCGCGTCCTGATGGCGGAGTAATCTATTGGCGCTCAGTCCAATTGGGCATGCAACCCCGTTCCCATAACAGCCCCTCCCTGGTTATACCCGTATGCAGCAGAGGAACGGGGGTATCAAACATTCAAAGGTTAGACATATATTCCCAACAATTCTCGTAATTCTTACACGAACACAAGTGATTGGGTTAATGGTGAGAGCGCCAACCCGATCTGAGAGAATTCCTACTCGTAACTCGATACACGCGCTGTGATGCCGAAATGCCGAAAAAGCGACAAAGCTAAAACCACACTAATCTACTGATCACAACAAAATGAAAAAGCAAAGACAAATTGCGAGAAAAGACGCGAGGTCGTTCGTCATCATACATACATACATGCATTCCAACAAAGAGATCCGAGAAGATTCACACAGGAAATCCGAAAAATGCCGCAACAAAATTGACCAACGTTGGAATCAAAATATAGAAAGGAGGGAGGAAAGGACACTGTTCGACCATATCCCTCGTTTTTCTCTCTCCCGATGTGGGCAGTCTGTCGCCGCGCATCCCAAAGGCCTCACAGAGTCGTCACCCCACTTAGCCTGAGCGTGCAAGCCAAGTTCGCCCACGTGCCACAGTCCCTCGCGGCCACGCATCAACCCCGCACACTCAGCACCAGCTCGTCAGATCGCCCAACTCTCTACTCACCGTCTTTCTGCTCGTTAGACGATCCTCTCGACCGCACTAACTCCCAAGTAGATTAGAGAGAAAATTAATCGCGCTTGCAGAATTTATAGCTTGCTAATCAGCGCGCAATAGTCGGGACTGCCAAGGGAACAGGAAAGAAGAGAGGAAGGAAGTGCCTACGAGTGCATGACTGGGCCGCGGCGTGCGGGACGTAGCCTCACTCCACGCTTCGATCCAACCATGCAACGATCCGGCCAATGAAACAGGAGGTAGAGTGCGCATGCAGTGACGCGGGAAGGGAATTTCAAGAACGGGGAAGATTACAATTACACCTGTGTAGCAGGGAAGGAACAAGAAGAGATTATAGTTGAGATTAGAATTTAGGCGCGGCGGGAACAGAGCGTAGGTCCCTGTGCAGCAAAGCGCGCATGCAGGCAATGGCCGATGTGCAGTTACGGGCAGAAATTCCGGCGCACCCAATTTCCTCATCTAATTAAAGTCCTAATTACAAAAGAAAGAAATTTCGAGAGCCCGCAGGGGCTCGTTCTAAATTAAAAAATTTCGAAGGAATTACCCGCGCGATTATCGCGCCAAAAAGACGAACGCCTTATTTGAAAACAAAAGAAAAACAAAAACGAAAAGAAAAGAGAAAAAGGCCATAGCCGAAGTTATTCCCCCTCCGCGCTCGCTAAGGCGCAGGCCTACCATCCCAAGGTCCATAACCGTCACTTTCTCTTCCCTGAAGGACCAAGGAGAAAATTTCGAAGAATGAAGAAAGTGGGACCGCCATGCAATTTATCCTCGATCCCTCTTTGTACCCCCGATCCCGGTTGCGCAGAAGATAGCGTCTTATAGAAAGTAGTTCGTCACATATGTGATGCCCAGGGGGTTCCATCCTGTGCAAGCTCCCGCTTGCATCCACATCTCTCCAAAGTTTGAAGAGGGAAAAAGAAGGAAGGGAGAAAGAATTGACACGTTATTCGAGCCGCCCTCGTTTCACGGGTGGGGAAGTCGGAAGATGGCGGGGATAAGCGGGGGAGGATCATTCGGGAGAGGCGGTAAGAAATTTGCCATCCCCATCACCGTTTCCGGGAGCTCCTGGTATCTGATGATGCGATGGATGCGGGGGAAGCGATTTCCGCCTTCAGGGAGGGAAGCAAGATAGTCGGGATAGAGGGTTGAGAAGGTGCGAAACAGCGCCGCACGAAACTGCTCATGATCTGCACATATGGGGATAGTTCCCGTAATGATGCAGTAGACTACAATGACGTCCTGGTCTCGCCACGCGGCGCTGATCAGAAGGACGTGGAGATGGAAGGAAGAAGAGACACATTGGGCGGCGGGGTGCGGATATACGTTGGCAACGAGGCGGGTGGCGTAGAATTGGTGGAAGGTCGAAGAAGGAAAAGGATTGGAGGGGAAAGAGCGCAGAATGTTGATCTGTCGCCGACTGACGGAAGGTGATGTAATCAAGGGGACGGCGGGTTAGGGAACGGGGACGTAGCCCGATGCCCCGCATTGCCACAAGCTCGAACTGAGGGATGGGGGGAAGGGGAGGGGGAGCGGGATCGCCTGCGCGTCGCCGTGCCAAAAGTCTCTGCATGAGGGTGCTCATCTTCCTTGGCTGGCGGCTCGGGATCTTTAGTCGGGTCGTCTGGAACAGGCAGATCAACTCCCACCAACAGCTCCAATGGCCGCTTTCCTTCTGCGATGGACGCCCTGCGCCGCTCTGCCTCCGGGTCCTCCTCCTGGACTTCCACCTGCTCCGCTTCTTCCTCTCCGGCCGCTTCTTCTTCGGCCTCCTCCCACTCCTCTACTTCTTCTTCTTCTTCTTATTCTTCTTCGCTCACCACCCCTGCCTCATGCTCACTATGCTCACTATAATCCTCGTCCTCTTCGGAGGTCTCTTCCTCGCTTTCCTCCTCTTCCTCGTCCTCTTCTTCCTCCTGGTCCTCTTCTCCTCCGCTCACCAGGTTGAAGAGAGCGTCTGTAATCGTCCAGGGATCCAGGTAGCTGTGCGATGGGTAACACACATTGTCACCATCGCCCTCCAGGCATGCCGACCATTGCAGATACGGTACCAGGCATCGCGAGAGGATGTGTGGTATGGGACTCTTGTCGGAGTGCGAGATGACGTCCAGCGGAAGGTCGTCTAGTAGATTGGTCTGGAGGATCAGCAACTCGTTTATGATCGTCCGTCGATGGCCCGGCTCGACTGATCCGAAGACGAATCCTAAAAAATCTCCCTCCGTGTCCGTCTTCCAAGCTTGAACGAGTAGCAGCTCGACGTCCTCACTAGCTACGGGATGGTCCCCGTCCTTCCGCCACGTCAGATCGATATCGACTAAGCACAGCGAAAGAGTCGCATACGTCTGCCACCACCTTAGCCACTGCTCCGGCTTGATCCTAGGAAGCATAAGCGGGCGCACACAGAAAGAGAGGCGGGGATGGAGTGCGGATTGCCAGAAGAGAGGAAAAGTAGAGGGGAGACTAAAGGTAGAGAATCTGGAGCGGTTCATTGGGGGCGCGGGAAGGGGACAAGCTCGGGGATGAGCACCACTGGTGCGTGCCGAGAGAGACGAATGCCGTCTATGTCAATATTGTCTGTATTGACGATGTTCTCCCCCCGCTGCGAGAGCATCTGACTCCACACCCAAGATAATTGCGCTCCCCACTCTCGCAACGAGTCAAGGATGGCTGTATGCGTTCTGGGATCGAGTGGCATAAGATCCCCGCTGAAGATGATGATTGTCGAGATGTGAGCAGTTCCTGGCGCCGAGAGCCGACGGTAAGCTGAGGCTCCGGCCAACACGTGTGACCTGCTGTTGGGGATCGCAAATCAAAATTCTGCCGCCGCGTAAAATCCCGCTGTACTGAAGAACTGGGCGAAGCGGAGAGCGTCTGGGCTGATGCGCGGGTGATACACTTGCCGAATCGACGAGATATGCCCACCTGGCGCCAACATGCGTTCACTGAGTACCTGCTCCGTGGAGAAACTCATGGCGAAGAGGAGGGGGAAGATGAGCGAGTAGGAGAGAGAGAATGAGGCTCGTCACTATCCCACTCGGACCCTAAAATCGACCCCGCTGGAGAAGGAGGGAAGGAAGTCGAGAGATGGCGGAGGTAGGACACCTGGCGAACAATAAGCCTAGCCGACTGGCTACCGGACACCTCAGGAGCAAGCCGCACCGTGTTCACGCCGTTAGGACCGAGCTCGATCACTCTGAAGCATCCGTAGAATCGTGGCGCTAGCTTGCCCTGGCCCGCACATTTCCTCACCTGCACCAAGTCCCCCAATTTGTACTGGGGCCGAGGGCCAACATTCCCATT